CACTTATCCCCTGCACACACATCTCTAACCAACTTTCGTTTTCGTCGCTCGACTCTGTTCCCGACGCGCTGACCTGTTGCTTTCCCTTTGACGCTACGCTCCTGATCCTGTACTCTGTACTCCTGACACTCCGACTCGATCTCTCGCACTTTATCCCGTTACGTATCTCCGCGCCTTTCGAAACATCTCCGTTCACCCCCCGATACCTTATCTCCACGTCTCCTATCGAAATTCCATCCATTACCTTCTTTGCACATCTCCCGGCACTGTCTGATACTCGTAAACACACATCTGAATCATCCCGTCATCCCAAACCGCTCACCTTCTCCCGTATCCTGTCGCGAACGACTCCCGACACTCGTATCTACCTTTCACTTGCTGTCTTCATCTTCATATCGACTCTCGCTACTCCTCCTGTCACCACTCACACCATCTGTCTTTGTACCGTACCGGGCTCTACACCACTCTGACACTCACCACACTTTCCGCATCATACGTGCAACACATCTGCTCCCCGTCACCCGCTCGCGTCCTATCTTTTCGCATATTTTTCCCGACCGCAAATCTCCAACTTCACTATCTACATCTCTTCCTATTGCTTCACTTATCCCCTGCACACACATCTCTAACCAACTTTCGTTTTCGTCGCTCGACTTGTCTCCGCCATCAGCGCCAAGCCTTTTGATACCTAAAGGGGCCACAACTCTTTCCACGTGCTCGGAACATCGGGCCGGTACGGTGATCTGCCGTGAGTTCTCGTCCTCTCGGGTACAGCATGGTCCCCCGGCGTGTTTGTACGCCGGGGTCCGTCATTTATTCCAGTCGTACTGTCTACATACATTTCTTCTTGTACATTACGATCTGTTGTGTCTAGCGTCCTGTATTTGTCTTAGCATGCCGTCACCCCACGGCTTGTTCTATTATCGCGATTGCATCGTGTGCGCGCGTGCTTCGCCTGCTTTCATCCGCGGTCATCCTTCTGGCGACGGGCACGCCGAGCTCACGCCGTTCGCTATGACGAAGCTTCGCAAAGTGACGGCGGCTTGTGGGCGTCGAGGACGAAGTCCACTACTACGTCTTGAGGTCGCCTTACGGGCAGCCGCATCGCCTCCTCTCACGGAGTTGTTGACTGGCCATGTATCGCGCTGCCTAGCGCTGTGGCGCGCTCCCATGCTGCGAGCGCAGACACGGAGGATGGTCTGTCCTGTCGGTCGCTGTCACTCATCGCAGCACAAGTCGCCGTCTGGCGTGAGGTGGACGGACGGAGCCCACTGGCGAGGGCCGTAAGCAAGGGTACCCGGCCTCGGAGAACCCCGTACGGTAGCTCGTATGGACTTTGCGCGTACCCGCATCGACGTGCTCGTCATGGTCCACAACGACTTCGCCGGCGCTAATGCTGAGGACGCGAGTTAGCTTCGGAGAGCGCACGCGTTGAGCGAGAGACGCACGGTGCCAGTATCGTGTTCGGGATGCGAGACCGCTTTAGATATATTCGATAGCGGTGAACGCGACGTCTGATGGCCATTGTGAGCGACCTTCACGTAGTGAGGGCGATGACGAAACTGTACCTCTTCGGCGTGCGCGTTCTGCACATCCGCGACCGACCCTCGCCGAGGAGCTTCGTAGAGCCTGCCATTCCACGTATAACGCGACGTTACCCCACCACAAAGTCGTCGCGTAGCTGGCGAAACGATAAGGCGATGCACCGTCAGTCTCAGTGGTTGGTGCCACGCACCGTGGGCCAGAGCGAGCAGGCATGACGTGGGCCTATTGAAACCGTTCAGTAATTGAGACGAGAGCTCGTTGTTATACGACACATACCATTCACTGAACGTGTCGAGTCGACTAGCGCTCTGGACCCGGGTTTGTCACTACTGACGTTGCGAGCGGGCCCGTGATTGTCGGCACGCGAGCGGTAAACGTGTTATGTCAAGCTTGGCTGCAAAAACTACGGCTACACCTCGCGAGCTGTTATTCGTCTGTGAGTGAATGATGACCGGTAAGATGGACCGGGACGATACATACGTGTCAGAGCCCGAGCGGGCAACTGGGCAACGAGGTCGGAGCCGTTACGCGGTGTCTGTAGCTATAGCCCAGAGCTTGACCATAGGACACAGCATACGAGTCCACCAAGTAGAGTTGCTGGAGCGCGCAGGTATGGCATATCCGGGCAGGCGCCGAGGTGGTGGTCTATAGAACAGCCAGAGTCGAAGGCGGGCGCGGGGCGGGCGAATGCCGTCTCACGTGTACAGCACACCAGAGGTTCGTGGTCGTGTAAGAGTGATTCGTGTCATATTTGTCGAGAGCTGAGTCGATGGTAGTTTGATGGCGAAGCGGTAGTGGCGGTGGGTGTAGAAGGTAAGGGCAGCCGTGACGGAAATGGTGGTCGTGGACAGACCCGCGCCTCGAGCTCCGCGCGTCAGTACGACCGCGTGCCTGCGCTTAAGCAAGCTTGTCTCGAACGCTCACCAAACGCTCACTGCGCTTACGCCGCCGCCGTCTTGAGACACCCCTCAGCTGCTCCCAGCAATCACCGCGGGCTCGCACACCCCGGCGACATTTTCCGTTGCAGATAAAGAAGGGCCGGGCTCTTCTCTGGAGACGCTGAGCGACGCGTACGCCTCGGTGAGGCAGTTTATCGCATGTCACCACCCGTATATGCTCGAATGATGCCTTTTCTTTGCTTTGGACTAGATTGTAGGCCAGAGTGCGGACGAAACCCAACCTACGATATCGATCCTCTTCCTCCCCACTTCCTCCTCTTCCTCCCCACTTCCTCCTCTTCCTCCCCACTTCCTCTGCACCGCACATACTCCAACTCTGTGTCCCTATCACTATGTAGCACCAGTCCTTCAGTTCTATGATGTTGAAAGCCCATGAATACGCGACATAGCCGCGATGAGTACAGTACGAATTGAATCGAACGTCGGCGATTGCACTTTCGTCCGAGTAATCATGAAGCTATGTAAGAGCGGTCTGCGTTACAATGCGGATGAGCGGCGGAGAGGCATAGGCGCGCGTATGCCAGTACTTGCGCAACAGATACGAGTGTGGCTGCGTACGCAGGCTGCCGTCGTCGTTCGCTAGCTTGGATAGGCATGTCGGCGCGCTCGGCGCACATGCATGCAACCTGGCTGCATCCGTACACAAGAACGTCAGCCTCGCAGAGCGCGAGCGCAAGAAAAGTGCGATGCGAGGACTGTAGATCGCACCCTCACGCCTCTACGTACACGAGGACCGCGAGCACCACGCCATGACCGACGAGCACCACGCCACGACCGACGAGCAAAACAAATGCATATTGAGAAAGAACTGCATTAAGCCACATCCAACATTACACCATACTCTACTCGATCACTCTATAACGTCGGTGGCGGCGCGACCTTCTTCATATTTGCGCCCAGCCATCCGGCAACGCCAAGCCCACATCCGCTGCGAGCCGCCCACCGATCAGGCCGTTGGTGGCGCGGAACTGGGAGACGCGGTCCTCGAGGAGCGGGTTGAGGTGGCGTGGATGGGCTAGGCCGCTGCGTCGCCGAGGGCGCAGATTGTACGATCTTCGATTTGTTTAGAGAGTTCGAGGAGCATGTCGATTTCGCGTGTGTGGCCGCTACAGAGAAGATTGTATGTGAGTTGCGGAGGTATGGAAGAAGGACAGGGGTATAGACGTACTGGCCCTCCTTGAGCCTGCTCATCATGTCCATCATCCATACCGTGCCCTCACACCAAGGCGTGCACTGGCCGCACGACTCGTCCTGATAGAACTATGAGATCAAGAAGATGAATAGTGCCAGCGCAACCACGACCAGCACGCGGAGCAGGATGACGCGGCGACATGGATAGTTGCGCGTTCACGCCCTGTAGACTAGGCGCGTCCGACGAATCGCCAACGTGACTAGCAGGCGAATCCGAACTCTCCGCATTGCCAGTTGAACGCGACATGCGCGAGCCGCCAGTCGAGTGGGTCTTTGACGACGCGCTCTTGCTCGGAGGTGTATGATGCGAGCGCGTAGCAGCCGAGCACGCGTCCGTAGAGAAGACGCTACCGCCGCGCGATGCCGGACGGCAGGGAACGTAAAGGGACAGCAGCCAGGTATGGGTTGACCGAGACTCGTTATCGAGTTCGACCCGCGACCGGGATGCGGTAAGTCCTGGCTGGTGCACGGCTCGGCTTTCCTCCACCCCGTACCCCTCTTCGCTCTCACTCTTGCCTTCACCAGACTGACCGGGTGATGGCGGGACAGTATTTGCTGCGACCACGACGAATGCCGGTGTTGACCGAAGCCCTGGAACGGATACGAGCCCTCGGCGGCATGCTCCTCCAGCGCCTCGGAGTCCTCGGCTTCGTGTGGTGGACTCTTGAGCACGTCCCGCGAGAACATCGGCGACGTGATTTATGTTCGGCAGCGGGTGATGCGAGTCCGACAAGGGCGAGTACTGTACACGGTTCACACCCTCCGCGCCGAGCATATCCCGCTCGGCGCTAACGTTCGTAGTCTCCTTGCGCACCATAGACGCAGGCCGTAGAAACGCCAGACAGAAATCATACACCTCTTGAATCCTCGACGCCGTACATTCCTCCCATGCCCGCGTCGTTTCAACATCCGCCTCGACGTTCTCCTCGCTCTACACCGACGCAGCGCAAGTTCTCCATTCTTCCCAACGCGCCGCAGGCTCGAAAAATTCGCTGCACCTGTACTCGCTGGAAGGACGCCGGTCTGTATGAAGTGTGCCCGCGAGATGGGCGGACAGAGCAAGGACAGAGCGAGCGCGGGAGCCGTGGGGCGAGTTCAAGTTGTGGCGCGCGCGCTCGTCAAGGCTTTCCTCCTGCTTTCGTCTTGCCATCATGTCTCTTGATGTTCAACGGCACCTTCCGCCCTCCACTTCGTTCATGGCAGACAGCTCACTATAATACTGTGGCTGTAAACCTATAGATCCCATTACCGCAAAGGATCGCCGCGCCTTACTGTCTTCCTCCAATCCTCCACACCGCCGATTTATATGCCGCTCTCTGCGACGCACGGAACGATCAGGAGTGCTGAAACTTAGATGTGCGACAACAGGGAAGGTATCCGGCTCGGATGAGATGGTGCGTCAGCTCTCTGAGCAAGTGGATCCGTTTAATACTTTCTGCTAGGTCGCGATGGTCTCCAGATCGTGATGGCACTCGTATCGTCAGGCTATGATCCGTACAACTCTCCTACGATATTCGCAGCTCTCCCCACAATATCTTCCATCCAGCATATTCTCGCATAGACGATACGCTGCTTTCAATCCGTTAGTACGCATCTGATCCACCTCGCCGTGTAACGCATACAACGCGCCGCCGAATCCCCATATGGGAACAATGAACTCGCTCCATCGCCCATCGCCCTGTTTATGGCTATAGAATCCTCAGCTTTGTCTGGGGGCTGAAAGTCCCGGTTGTGCTGGTCATTTTGTAGGAGTTTACCGCCCGAAAAGCCCGCCAGCTAATAGAATGACGACATTCGCTCGCAGTGTTATGGCCTGCGGTTCGTTGTTCTCGTGCGAGTACACGTCGATGTCTCGCGTGCACGCATCTCCTTTGCGGCATGCAGATCCCACACCGCGTAGATTGCCCAGGTGGGCTTGTATTCCATCAGAATGCAGTGCTTCTATATAGCTTCCACGACTGCATCGTCGAATGATCACGCGCTCAATGCTCACTCCCAACTCCCTCACATCGTCGCTCGTCGCGGTCGGCGCCTTAGTTGCGAGCACGGCAGCGTCGCCTTATCAGCTAAAGGAGCGAGTCTCAGAGCCTCGTAACTGGATCAAACAGAACCCGGCGCCAGCTAACCATATCGTCAACCTCAAGTTTGGGCTACTTCAAGCGGGCTTCGACGAGCTCGAGCGCCATCTCTACGAAGTTAGCGACCCCGCACACGTTCGCTATGGCCAGCACTTGTCGAAGACTCAAGTAGAGGCACTCGTAGCACCTCACCCCGACAGTATCGCGGCCGTGACTGGGTGGCTGAAGGAGCATGACATTGCAGAGAAGGAAATGCAACTCTCTGCGGCACAGGACTGGGTTACCGTGCGCGTTCCGGTCGCTATCGCCGAGGCCATGCTCGACACGGTGCGCATGAACTTGATGGCCTGTCATACAAGCACTGACCGAACTTGGCGCAGAAATTCCACGTTTGGGAACATGCCAGCGGTGACACGACGCTCATTCGCACGACAAGCTATTCGCTTCCGGAGCACGTTCACTCACACATCGACGTCGTCCATCCGACGACGTACTTCAACCGTGCTCGCGCGCTGAGAACGACTTTCCACTTCTCCGAACCGCCGGCGGCAGATGCAAGTTCAACTGAGCTCGGCAATATTTCCATACCTGGCTCAGACGTCACCATCGACGCGAGCTGCAATACCACGATCACGGTCGACTGCATCAAGGTCTGTTCTTGCAACACACCACTTAATCCACTTGTTCACGCTCTTTCAAGGAACTGTACAACGCGGTGAACTACACAGTTGTAGCTGCCGACGTCAATCAGCTTGGCATAACTGGATACCTCGATCAGTTCGCTAACTTCCAAGGCATGTCTTAACCTCCGTTCAGCAGTCTCCTTCTTCATCGATTTGCGATCTTAGATCTCCAATCGTTCTATGCCCGGCAGGTTCCAGAGGCTGTGGGCACGTCGTTCAACGTGACACTCATCGACGGTTAGCCTATACGATCTTCTTCGACTCATATTCCTCGCTCATCACTCTCGGCGCAGGCGGCGAGAATAATCAAACACTATCCGAGGCCGGCGCCGAAGCCAATCTCGACGTCCAGTACGGGTTCGGTATCACATTCCCCACTCCTGGTGTTTTCTGGAGCACTGGCGGTAGTCCTCCCTTCACTCCGGATCAGCAGACGCCTACCGACACTAATGAGCCGTATGAGACTGTGAGTCTTTCGATCAACTGTTGCTACGACATTGTCGCTGAATCGAGTGCATGCGCAGTGGCTTGTGTTCGTACTAGCTCAAGACTTCGTCCCACAAACCATCTCGACGAGCTACGCCGATGACGAGCAGACAGGTATGTACTTCATCCACGTATTGTCTAGTGTATAGACTCAAGCTTGCAATCTCAGTCCCAATTGCGTTTGCGCAGCGCGTGTGCGCCGACTTCGCACAACTGGGTGCGTATCTACGCATCCATGCCTGTTTCTGTTGTATAAGTACTCACGCGCCTGCTCAGGTGCGCGTGGCGTATCGCTCCTGTTTGGTTCTGGAGACGGCGGAGTCGGCGACGGCGACTCTAACCCTGCTACAACTGACTGCTTTACCAATGATGGCACGAACACGAGGACGTTTTTGCCACTTTTCCCGGCCTCGTGTCCCTTGTCAGTGCGGTTCCAGTTCTGCTTGCCATCCATACGTTGACATCTTCGTGCCCTAGCATCACGTCTGTGGGCGGCACAATCAATGTCCCCGAAGGTGGGCAGTCCGATGAGTAGCAGTCATCGCTCATCACTCACATCATAGCGGGCAACAGTCGCGGTAGACTTTTCTGGCGGCGGGTTCAGTAACTACGTGAGAGATACTCATACTGCTCCAGTCCTTCGCGTCGCCCTGACAAATGAATGCTTGCAGTTTGCTCGCCCTTCGTACCAAGATACCGTCGTGCCGGCGTATCTCGATTCTCTCACGCCTGGCACCTTCGCTGGACTATTCAACTCCAGTGGTAGAGTGCGTACAATATCTCTTGTTCATCTTCATTGCGTTCGAATCATTGATATCATGCTAGGGGATACCTGACGTCGCCGCCCAGGCTGACAAGTTTCGAATATTCCTTTCGGGACGTGCAGTCTCGATTGGGGGCACGTCTGCAGCAACGCCGACCTTTGCGGGCATCGTGTCTCTGCTAAACGACGCTCGTCTTGCGAAAGGCCTGGCGCCACTCGGTTTTCTGAACCCGCTCATTTACTCGGCGAATGTTAGCGCGACTTTCAACGATATAACCGTTGGAAGCAATCCCGGATGCGGAACGGACGGCTTCAATGTACGTTCATGTTTGATAACCTCGATCTCACTAGTAGGCTCACTGTAATGTGAAATAGGCCACGATCGGCTGGGATCCTATTACTGGCTTCGGCACGCCGAACTTCGGGCTCCTCAAGGACATAGTTGCGCCTTGATCTTTCGTTGGGCGACACATCGAAGCATAACGACGAAAAAGTCTCTTGAAGTTCTTCATAGGGATCGTGCGTTTGATACGTTCTTGGTGTATAGTGTGTATGCTACTTGTGCTCTGGCCAGTATATATCCAATCGTATTCACAAGGACAGCGTCAACTTCGTAGTCTGAACGTTGAGCTGTTGTTAGTGCTGGGAGAAGTGAGCACTGTTCGCGATCACGAAAGGACTGGCTCCCGCTCCAGCTCGCCTCGGGCGCGTCAGCACTCGCGGCCAGCAGTGTTCATTGAAGAAACATATGCTACGAGAGTTACAAATCCGCTCTTCGCTCCGACGATTTCCCCTCATCTGTATCCTTGTAACCGCAATGAAGCGGCAGGATTGGACCGGGGCGCGATGTGAGCCAGAAGGCGGGATACTTCCGCTGAATGTTGTTGATCAACAACGCAACGGTTAGCGATAGTATGCTACTAAGCAGCACAACTGGCAAGTAATACCAGCCGAGCGCCGTAGCTTGCACGGTCACAGTCGGTATGATTGCGGTCGCGCCTGCTGGCGGGTGCATCGTGTGTGTGAGCTCCATGAGGACGATCGTCGTCGCGCACGCTATTCCCGAGGACAGCCAGCGTAGGTCTTCAAAGTCAGAAGCTGCGAAGGTGACATGTTAGCACACGGCGCTTGTATACACGATCGTAAAAACCTACTGACCCATATGGAATAGCTTCATTGTGCAGACACCCACGAGTGCGCCGAGGAAGTGACCGCCGACAAGTGCTCGCGGTTGCGAAGAGGGCGCGTCGTGATTGCCGTAGATGAATGCGGCAGAAGCTCCCTGTATGAGCTCGTGGGTCGTGTAGTCTGGGATTACATTTGTGAGAGAACATACGAAGGATGGCAGAAGCACCGGCACATTGCGGCTCGTAAAGTACACAGAGTGCCCGAAGATCGCCGCGATCACACTCAGTTCGCAGAACGCGCCGACCCAAGACCAGATGTTATTATTCCATGGTGGGAGGTCGGGCTCTGGTATACTGCGATAGCCCAGCCAGCGCGAGACCCACGGAGGCAAGCGAGAGAGGACGTTGGGAGACTCGGACGAAGTCGTGTCGGACATGGAGAATAGGGTACGGATGGCGGGCGAAGAGCAACTTCTACGCCTCATGGTCACTCTTAAATGATCCTGCGTGCAATCAGATTACATGAAACCGTAAGGAAGCATCGAGCGATAGCGGATGTCGGCGAGATCAAGCTGTCAAATCGTATACCTTCCCAAGGTCAGGCACCAAAGGAACATTTAAAATAACCCCATCGCCACGGATACAGCTTCTTTCATCGCACTCATTACACTGCAACTGTCAGTATATCCAAGGCTGGACTAGATATTATGGCCCTTGAAACGAGGTAAAGGGCAGCAGCGCGTCGAGCGCACGCGACACAGGACCCTGTCCAGCTGAACACCAAAGGACTCCACAGATGATATCACGAATTTGAGAGCGAGAGGATCTACTACATTGCACGACTAACAAGAGTGTCGATGGTGGTTCGCGTTGAAGTGTTCGGCGCGCAAATCGCGAAACAAAGCACGAACCAGAGTGCACGTGCGGTGTCTCACGGCTGCCTTCCTGCAGGGCCGCATGAACCTCGTCGACAACGACGATGAGTGCACTGGATCCGAGATGGTGTCGGCGAGGAGCTGCTTTAGGCCGCGCCGTTGCCTCGCGGACGGATAGGACGTCAGAAGAAGTATAGAATCGGCCGCTAGCGCGAAGCCCATCGCCCCGGTGCATTGGACCCTTCGCCCAATCCTTCCATTTCCCCTCAAGCTTACATCAAAATCGCGGGCCATCTCTTTGCCCGTCACTCTACCTATAACCTCCATCTCGTCTTTCGACTATGTCCTCGGTGCGTTAATCAGAGTATATGGCATGCAACGGTTGCTGATCTCGCAACAAGGCTTCGACTACGCTTGATCGCGCGCAGACGTTCCTCCTGGCGAAGGTGGCCGAGGAGGCAGAACGATGGGATGGTGCGTTGCTATGTCTTGTATGGTCATGCATGAGACTGAAGTAGCGCGTACGCTCAGATTCGATCGCGAGCCTGAAGAGCATCGTCTCGATGGGTGCTCAGCTATCGTCCGAGGAGCGTAATCTCGTTTCTGTCGCGTACAAGAACAAGACCGGTACTCTACGCAACTCTTGGCGCGCTGTGGACACGCTCGAGAAACGCGAGGCTCAGAGCAGCCGCACTTCCCGCCGGTTGACTTTGATCCGCAAAGCGCGCGGAGATATCGAGCGAGAGCTTGAACGCGCCTGTCAGGACGTGTTGAATTTGATCTCGGCGCATCTGTTGCCGGCGGCAAGTCCTGGTGAGGAGCGGGTCTTCTACCATAAGATGTACGTTCTCTCCCTCACTTTTGCATGACAACGCTGACATGGCTATGTAGGCAAGGCGACTACTATCGTTACTTGTACGAGTTCGCACCGATCAAGGAGCGCGAGCGGTACGGTACATTATCTCTTGAAGCCTACAAGACCGCATACAAACACGCTCTGGGAACGCTCGAGCCTTGGCATCCTACACGTCTTGGCCTGGCGCTCAACTTCGCCGTCTATTTCCGCGACGTCTGCGCCAGCCCTATACGCGCGTGTCATCTTGCGAAGCACGCTTTCGACGAGGCGATCAACGCCTTGGTCAAGCTTCCGGAAGACACGTACAAGGACTCGCTCATGATCTTGCAACTTCTCCGCGACGATCTCATACTCTGGTCATCAGAGATCAATCAGCAAGGTACGCTTGATCTATATGTCACGTAGGATAACGTGCTGAGAGATGAACTAGATGGTAACGCCAACGGCGAAACTGCCTAGCCCTTCTTATCCTTGATTCCCTTGGTTTCTTCTGGTTGTCTCGCGTTTCTGCCTCTGAGCACATCGCTCTCGCCTTTGCTTTACTGCTCTGACACTGGCTCTTGCAACTGCTGTCTGCGCCATCTCTCATCAGCACATCTGTACCCATTCCCATTTGTATCCACTACGACTCGTTACGAACTCCTCAACTGCTTCGTCGAACAATGCACGAGTGCGCCTATGTCTTACTCACATCGTTAAGCTTTCGATAGTCCTGTCAATCAAACATTTCGATCTGCATTCATTGATACCATTCTGGTCTACTGTACATACAAGGTTTGCCTTCTCTTTGTTACATACTTCTGATCAGGGAGTTCCCTCTACCGTATAAATAGCGGTGGCGTTCGCGAATGCCCTCAGGCGAGGGAACGCCCTGGCCGCCTCCCAAACGCTCACCGGCTCTCCCTTCACCTGGTGAAGGATGCGAAGCTTCCGCAGGTTTGGCAGCAACCGAGCCGCATCCAGAAGAGTGCGCTTCTCGTCGAGGCTCGATAAGGTCAGAGATACGAGTCTCTCCCCTCGCAAAGCAAGGAGTAAAGGAATCGTTTCAGCGCTCAGCTCGAACCCTTCGAGAGTCTCCAGTGTCAGGCTACCTGGCGTACGAGGCAGGGTCAGGAGCGCGCGGATGAATACGTGCGACGTCTCCACCAGGCGGAGGAGCCTCGGAAAGCGGGGCATGTTGTTTGTCGTGAGAAAGTCGTATGGGACAGGACTCTGCCAGGAGAACTCCTCGAGCTGTGGGTGTGCGCTCGCGAAGTTGAGCACCTCGTGTGCTACCGATGTACGCATGTCCGGGACATGTAGAACGCGCAAATGCGGTAAGAACGACCAGTCGCTATCCGCGACTCCACCTAAGCGTAGCTGGGGTAGGTAAACCTCCTATGATCATGTCAGACGTAGGCTCATACTGCACGATACCTCGTAGACATACCTCAAGGCGTGTCGAGAGACGCATCACGCCGCAGATCCGCTTCCAGAACGATGCGGGGACGTATCCGGTACCCCGCAAATCGAGTACTCGCAGGGCTGTTAGGTTCCAGCTCTACGTAGCATACATGAGCATGAGCATAGCGGATGACCCAGACGTACACTTACCAAGCTGTCCGGGATGATGGGTGGCTGCTCGAGCGATGCGATGTCTACCACGGGGTAAGCACGGACCCGAAGCGTATCGAGGCCGGCTCGAGCGTTGTTACAGCTCACGGACAGGAGTCCGGAGTTCAATGGTGTCTGATTCTCGTCCATGTTCTTGGAGAGATGTACAGTGAGAGAGTACAGTCGCTTCATGAGGCGCAGCGCTTGAGCGATCTTCTCTGGCTCCACGGCAGACGCCACTGGGGATAAAGACAGCTCATCTGCGCTGAATGCCATAGACTCGAGCACACTGGAGGCGTCGTCGCAATAGATCTCGAGCTCGCGGACCTGGGAGGCCAAGTGAGGGCTTGAGATGAGATGCGTCCAGAGGTTGTCGTGTCCGAATAGCGCGACGATGCGAGAGTACTTCAATGCGCCGATAGCATCGGCCGTCGCATGCACGCGTCGACAGCTGAGCGCGAGTGCGACAAGATCGCGTCTGGCGCCAGTCTCGTCCAGCACGGCTTCAAGCAGCTCGTCGGGAAGCGAAAGCATCTTTCATGCTTGACGTAGACTCAGATTAAGCTGAGTGCTCGCTTATAGCTTGGAGTAGCCGAGGGCACGAATGCCCGTCTCTGGGATTCAATCGAGAGGACGACATAAGGCGGACGTGGCCCAGAGGCGCAGAACATGATCTGAAAGTAGCGAGGAAGCCTGATACGGCGAAGTGAGTGGGCAAAGCAGTGAGCACATAGATAAAGGCGATGTAGATACATCACGGAGGACGGACACGTCAGCAAGTCAACATAGCCCACAGTTGATGAAAGTAGCATTAGATCAGAAAAAAACATTGGCCACGACTAAAGCTCGTCAACACGTGTCCCATTGACGCGACGTAGACATGGATAAGCACCCCGGGCCTTGACTCTCGCGGCCGACTGTGGTAAGACGTGCATGACGCCTGAGACGATGCACAGCCTCGGGAAGAGGCGTAAAGCTTCCTCGAGCGTTATCCCCGGCGATCTCATGATCCTAGAGATCCAGCCGTTATCGTTGTCCAGTCTCATGGGCATATGGAGCTCTTTGATATCGGGGAACATGGTGGCTAATGCGGCGAGGGTTCTGTGCGAATCAACGCTGGACAGAGTGAGCGCGCGAAGGGACGAAGCGCTCACGGCGCGCAATACGGGAAGCGTGTCCGCTGTCAGCTCGAAGCGACCGAGCTTCGTAAGGCGCACACTCGCAGATGTTCTCCCGGAGAGCATAGCATTGACGAACGCCGGACTTGTATCGATCAGCCGCTCAAGACGAGGAAGATTTGGTGCGTTCGTAATGGCCACGTCTAACGTAGTGTCCCACGAGAACTCGGTGATCAAGGGATGCGCTGCAGCGTAGAAGGCGAGTTGTATGGCGGTAGATGCGTCTTGCTCTGCGATGTGCAGGGTGCGCAGATGGGGTAAGTGAGGCAAGGGCGTGCGAGGTGGTGCGTCGCCTCGGAATGGGGGAATTCGAAGAACCTGTATGCATCAATCAGTATTTGATTGGAGGCAAATTGCAGGGCAGAGACTGATACCTCCAGACGAGGGTTCAGAGCAAGCATGGCGCAGAACCTGGGCCAAACCTCTGTCCCCAACGTGATGTTCGCACCGAGAGTCGAAGGTAATGACAAGTCAAGCTCTCGTAGGTCGCGTATGTACCAAATCTACTCAGACGTGAGTCCCAACCCGGCGGTACAGACATGCAGTGACACGTACGAGGCTGTCCATATCGAGCGGGAATTGATCCATCACTCTCACCGTCAGAGACCGAATAGAGCTATTCCACTGACGGCACAGCGTAGCTTGTAGATCATCCTCGGCAGGGTACGCTCCCTTACGAGAAAATATAGTGATGGCTCCCAGACCGGTAAAGAGAGGAAGGCAGGCTACGAGCCGTTCCCGAGCATCAAGCCACTCAGAGGCTGTGTTCCTGCTGACGTCCGAGGGTACACGGAAGGAGGTGCGGTGGATATGTCCTTGGTACCAGATATCATAGATCGTCAAGACACGGACTTGGGCGGCATGAGCGGGATTCTCGATAAGGTGATTCCACAAGTGAATATGGCCCGCGGACACGATGAGTTCGCGGTACTGCAGGTAGCCACTTTGTTGAATGTGATTGTAGAGATATGAGCAGGTAAGCGCGAATGAGAGAAGATCCTCATGAGAGTCGACGGCTTCGATAACTGACTCTATGAGCTCAATCGGAAGCCTGTGACGGGCTGTGGGGGCCATAGAAGTCGTTGAGTTCGCGATTCACACTGTGTGAGCAAGAAGCGTATGCGCAGATGGGCACATGTAGTCCCAGTCAGACACTGGAACGTGGAGGGCTCCTTGTCCGTATAGCAGAGGGTATTGTCTAAGTCTACGGTAGTGGCGGCAGGAGCAAAAAGACAAAGTTAGAGTCGCGGCCCGCCGGGTGATGGTGTGCTCAAGAGGACGGATGGCGACGGCGGAAGCACGTTTGATGTCTTGCTTGACGTCCCTTCTTTGGCTCTTCCGCTCATCTGTGCGTCTATGCTCCCCGCCGTACATCCTGTAGCGTCCGTCTCTCCTGTCTGCGCTCGATGTTCGGCCATCGTCTTGTCGCCGATGTTGTGGCGCCAACCGCACCCGTATCTATCTGACTAAACTCATCCACGCATCTCCGCGCGGACACGGGCGCGCCGACGGCACACACATTGCGAAATGCGGCCCTGCTTATCGTGCTCCCACTCTCGCAGCTACCTGCTTGTCTCTTCCCTCCATCTCGGTTGTTGTCGAATTCTGGTAGACCCTAGACGACTATGTACTCGGAAAAGCAGCAACAGCGCAGCAATGCGATTGACCTTTCGCAGTGCGCTTCTCGAACATGATTGACAGCCTTGAAGCGCCCATTGACTTCCTTTCCAGCCATATTTCGGACTACGCCAAGTCGTACAAGGTGTCACCTTTGAAGGGTAAGTCCGTGTACTCTTATCCATTCGTATACATCCTAAACAGTCCGTTCAGGTCTCCAGAAGTACTTCAGTCGCGCAGACATGGTCTCCTTCGCAGGAGGTGAGCGTCTGTCTTTGCCCGTTTCAAAATCAAAATCGGCGTTCGTGGGTGGTGCCGCGGATCGAAGCATGCTCCAGGCGCTGGCCCTGGCGCGCTGTGAGAACGAGCGCGCTCGTTATGGGCAGAGTGATCTGCCCCTGCAGCGCTTGAGTCATGCTCATCGCAAGCGCCCTTGCTTATCGCTTTCCGAGTCGTCCGCATCACACTCTTCCAGTACATCGCAAGCTCTCAGTGCCAGGACTCTGACATTCAACGTTTTATAGGTCTTCCGCACGAGTCTGTCTTTCCCTTCCACAACGTCCAAGCCGATGTGTTGTTACCTGATTCGTTTCCTCTCACCTTGCACAATTCGGACTCCTCTTCACCGCTCTCTTGGCTCTGGCGTCTCTTCGGATACGACCCGACGAAGGAGAAGACCACGCATGTCCACGTCCCCAAGTTCAAGTCAGAGAATGACGGTGGCATGAACCTTGCGACGGCTCTGCAGTACGGCCCTGCGACCGGCATGCCAGCGACGCAGAAGTTCATCACAAGCTTCTCCGAGCTTGTGTACAAGCCTGCGTTCGCGGACTGGAAGACGATCGTGCAAACGGGCAACACCGACGGTTGGGGCCGTTGCGCGCGCATCCTATGCAACCCTGGTGACACCATCATCGCCGAGGAGTGGACGTACCCCTCTGCTCTCGCTAGCGCCGCCCCGATCCATATCAATGTGCTGCCCGTTGATTTGGACGGCATCGGTATGCGTCCGGATGCACTTCGCGAAGCCCTGGCCAACTGGGACGAGTCGAAGGGGCGCCGTCCGCACGTCATGTACACTGTCCCCGTCGGGCAGAATCCGTCTGGCGCGACGATGGACCTTCAGCGCAAGAAGGAGATCTACGACATCTGCGTCGAGTACGACGTGATCATCGTCGAGGACGACCCGTACTACTTCCTCCAGATGGGGGAATATGCGCCCAAGGCGGCCCGCCAGGAGCAGGCGTCGCACGACAACGAGTCGTTCCTCGCGTCTCTCGCCCCGAGCTTCCTCTCCGTCGATACGCAGGGCCGCGTGATCCGGCTCGACACCTTCTCCAAGACCATCGCGCCCGGTGTGCGTCTTGGCTGGTGCACCTGTGCTCCGCTCTTCGCAGAGCGGCTTGAGCGCGTCGGTGAGACGAGCACGCAGAGCCCGTGCGGTCTTGGCCAGGCACTCGTTATGCGCCTCATGCAGGAGTGGACGATCGATGGATACGTACGCTGGTTGCGCGGCATCCGCGTACAGTACGCAGCACGCCGCGACTTCTTCATCGACACCATCTCGGAGGTCTTCGCTCTCGAGCGCCGTGCTTGCACGCAGGGCGTCTGGGCCGGATCCGACGTGTACACCGCGTATGCGCGCCCGCGAAGCTCGATGTTTATGAGCGAGAAGAGTAGTCGCAAGGCGCTCTTTGAGTTCGTTCCGCCAAGCTCTGGCATGTTCGTATGGGTCAAACTCAACCTCGCCGAGCACCCCCTTCGTCTGCATGGTGCAGAGCCTGGTGAGGAGGAGCCGTCGCTGGAGATGCAGTTCTGGACGCAGCTCGCCGAAGGTGGCGTATTGGCTGCACCCGGATGGTTCTTCTCTGCGTATGTGAACGAAGATGGTGCTGGTCCCGACTTCGATCGTGAGGGCCACCTCCGCATCAGCTTCAGCTTTGCATCGGTGCGTCTTTGTGCTTCACGATGCCGTGCTCCAACTGACTTCAAGTGCAGACGGAAGAGATGCGGAAGGGCATCAAGATCTTCGAGAAGACTCTGCGCGAGTTCTTCAAGGTTTAGCCGAATACCAACACATAAGATATTCGTCCGTTCTTTTCCTCATGCTACTTATGCGCTTTCGATCATTTGCTGGATACACTGTGACTGGATACATACTACTCGAGATATTAGAATGAGTATTTTGCCATTGTAGACTGCGTGGACTCCGAGAGCAGGGAAAACTAATCGTGTTCAAGTATGGCGCATCTCCAATCTTCCCTACGCTACAGACGCCAATTGCAGCGTCTCCCAGCTGTTAGCTCCACGCACGTAGTCCTCACCCTTCCCCATCCGCCGACATGTTGGAGAGCCTTTCGGGTTCCTTCGGACCACAGCTACCCCTAACCATTGCGCGATCTCTTGCATGTTCCGGGTGTCGCACCAGTCAGGAGATTCGGAACGGCGTGTTAGACTGACGGGATGGATGGTGCATTACTGACCCTCCGAGCCGACGCCGAGCTCTGTTGCGAAAACACCCGCCCGGTGAGACAACCATATAAGGCACGCGGAACAGACGTCGGGCGGCGCAATAAACTTGAACATCCCGCCGTCGTTGACGTTGCCCATGACTTTCATCGGCGAGCGTCCTTTCTTGTCGCGGCTACCGCCATGGCTATCACGCTGGTTTGGCTACCGATCCAGCCCACCCGAGAAGCCGCCAAAGTATATCATCTGGTTCTGGTCCTGGATCGGCGCGTTTTGCGGCTTGAGTGTGATTATGGCCGTTTTTGGCCAAGCTCAGTACTTCATCAATAGAAAAGTGCCTATGCTTGTAGCCTCATATGTAAGCTTTCTCTCGTACAACTGTCGATTAGGGCTCAAACTGTTCATAGGGTGCGTCTGCGGTTCTCATCTATGGAGCGGTCGACGCCCCTCTAGCTCAACCGCGAGCATTGGTGGTCGGCCATTTCATTAGCGCGCTACTCGGGGTATGTATCTCGAAGCTGTTCCAACTATGTAAGTTACAAATCACGAACTTCCATCTTCGAATCACACTTGACGTGCTTTCCTCCGTAGCTCCCGACTTCGAGAATCTACGATGGTTATCTGCCTCAATATCTTGTGCAACAGCCATCGTTGTCATGCAGATCACTGAGACGACACATCCTCCGGCAGGTGCTAGCGCCTTGATTCCCTCGATCGACGTGGACTTCCAGGATCTGGGTTGGTATTACCTGCCTGTCATCCTGCTCAGCAGCACGCTAGCGTTGGCCGTCGCCTTACTCCTGAACAACATCCAACGACGTTATCCCGTATACTGGATTGCTCCAGAGAAGTACAGGGACGAGACGGAAAAGGCTGAAGGGTCCGCCGCAGCGAGTAGCGCGGACTTGAGTTCGGAGGATCCCGAACAGCCAAAGCCTGTAGGCGACGCCGAGAAGAATCACACACGGACAACGCAAGTAGCACCATAGGATGTATGTATTCCGAGTAGCATAGATCAAAGACATCGAGAGAAAGACGCCCCCGGCGTGAAGGACTTCGTCGCCGCTTTCTGCCGGTTTACTCCCAACACGGTAGAGACTGCTTCATACGGCTGCTACGATCGCAGCACCAATGGCTTGCCCGACATTCTCCCCCAGACTCTCAAAGAAGGATTCTCTGACGGCAGCACCAATACTCTGTTCACCTTCCGTACCCTCCCCTTTTCCGAGTTTTGATGTCTGCGTCTGGGATGTTGGAGACGGAGAGGGTGGCGCTTGCCCGCGATCACCGAGCGAGTGCCCACTGTGAAGGAGCACCATGGCCGCCACACATATATCGAGTAAGCCGGGCGTTCTCAGCGTTTCCGAGTAGGCATTGAGAATGTAATCTCCGCGCTCGTCGTACCACGCTGCTGCGGGGGGAGATCCTTCTTGATACACCTTACAAACAGTGGTCAGAGATCGGAAGGTATGAGTTCAATGTGAACATACCGTGTAGCCACCATATTGCGGTTTGCAGAAGTACAGCTCCCCGTGATGACGAATGGTACGTGTGCTGTATTAGAAGTCAGGCTTGTATAGACGAGACCCGCGTTCAAGTCGCACTCACCCGTCGCTCTCGTGTAATCGGGCCCACTCTCGACCCTTCAACTCCTTACCACCCATGATCCGCACTCTCAGTCCGCGTAGAGAGGTCGCCCAGTCAAAGTGCGCCACCTCGTAGCCATCAGCGCGCACCACACGCGTGGCATGGCCTTTGCGATCTGTCTCGACTCTGAAAGAAGCATCTCGGGCGCTCGTGTTCATGAGAGGTGTTGGAAAGCTCAGGACGGTAGGAATAGTCGTAGGCGCTGCAGATCCATATCCAGACGGCGTAGACAGGCGCGATGAAGACGGCAATGCTGGAGCTGAAGTGAAGTTGTTGTACGAAGGAGAGGGTGGCGCGAGTGTGTGGGATGGCGCATAGAATGGCGCCTCGTACGCATATCGGGGCGCACCACCTGGGGAAGCGAGATAGCCTGTAGAGTATGAGGGACTAGATGGCTGACTCGTTCGGGCAGGATACTGGTTCGCGTTGGGCGCCCCGAGTGGCGTCATGCGATCAATCGGTATTGGCGGAGGTAGAGAGGAATAGAACGGCGACGGCATGGTGGATCAGGTCAGAGAGCTCTGGCGAGTGCAGCAACAGCGTGATGAGCTGAATGCTCGAGATGATGGTATAGACAAAAGAAGCAGGCGGTACAAGACCGCAAAGCCCGGGCACCACCGCTGAAGAATGATGGCGATTCCAGTCACGTCGGGCTCGAGCCCAGGTACCTCCGAGATCGCTCATCACTCTAGGCTACGTCCACGAGCAACTCTCAACTTCCAGTGGCTTGCATGCTCTATCAGGATGAAATGCTTCTCATAGAGAACTGGGCGAGCGGACTCCAGAGACGGTGAACGCGGGAAGGAAGGGAGAGCGGCCGCGGCCGCGGCGTGATGCTTGTCCGATGCGCCCACGATGCATGCGCCTCGGACAGTCGTTGCGGGTTTCATGGCACTCTCGTCTTGACTCTCGTGTGCTTGTATGTCAGTCCGCGAAGGCCGGTCAATCATAGTGCTGCCTCAAAGGTGGAGGGAAGCCTCCTCATAAGTACGCACATTGCGCGGCCCATGTCCGATCTACCCCTTCGTCCTGCGAGTTACCTGCCTCGTCTGCTACTCAGTACACCTGCCTTGCTCCACGCTTGACCGAAAGGTATGCTTCATATACATTCGAAGAGTTCAACTGACTCATATCACTGTAGCATGGCTTCCGTCAGAGACGTGCCGGCTGAAGTCTTGTGTTCGATCTTTCGTTACGTGAACGACTCTACGAATTTCTACAGTCACGCCGAGCCTCTTGGTTGGATTCCGACCATTACCCACGTTTGTCAGAAGTGGAGGATGGCTGCTCTCGCTCTTCCCGACATCTGGGCTGAGAATATCTGCGCCCTTGCCTCCGACGCAGCTACGGACGCCTTTCTCGAGCGCGCCAAGACGATGCCGCTGGTCTTCAGCCCCAAAACTGAGCACCAAGTTACACTCGCAGAGAAACACATGTCTCGCTTGCAAACCTTCACGCAAACCAAGTCTCTCCCGTCCTCGTTCATCCAAGCCCTCGGGCAGACGACTCTTTCCCATTTGACGATCTTGCGCCTGCATCGTTGGGACGGCGCAGGAGATCGCTCGTATTTGGTCGATATCGAGGTGAACGCGCCGGCTCTCGTGGAGCTACGCCTCCGCAGCGTTTTCTTCAGAGTTGATGCTCCTCTTCTTCGCATCTTGGACGTAATGAACGACATCCAGCGATTCCAATACCATGGACTTGATCCGGTCCCGACGTCGACGATTCTGTCCGTTCTGGCGAACACGCCTCTTCTTGAGAACTTGAGGCTCGAGGGTCTGCACGCCTTCGATTCGCGGGTGCACGACGATGCAACAACCGCCGAGATGCAGGTCGAGCTACCGAAGCTGAGATCATTGTACCTCGAAGACCGAGGCAATGACTTTGGCCTATTCCGTCTGTTACGCATTCCGCCTACAGCGGAGCTCACCATTGAAAATGCGGAATGCGAGACGTACGATGAGCTGGACGTGACCTTCGAAGCCGTCGAGCGCCATCTGCGCACTCTCGCGTATGACATGCTGCTCCTCCACGAAGAACAAGACGACGCGTGCACCCACGTCAACATCTGCCTGCGCTCATCTACGTCCTCCATCGGCGATTCGGAGGCTGAGGTTTTTGGTCACGGCGAGCCGGCTTTTAGGCTGGACTCTACCATGTACTACGGCGGCGAAGGCGGGAGCTCTCTCACCATCCTCGAGTCTTTCCTGTCACGCATCGACGTCGGCGCCATCCGCTTCCTCGACATCGGGGATATCGGCACGGAGGAGTTCGTGGAGCTCGAACCCGAGGAAGTGCGCGAGGCGCTCGTGCCGTTCGTCAACGTCTCGACGGTGATGATCAATGCCAGCTCTATGCATCGGCACATACTCGCACTCGGGAAGAATAGTGATGAAGATGACGATGACGAAGGTGGAGACGAGGACGAAGACGAGGACGAGAGCGAGAGCGAGGACAGCGACGGCAGTGCTGAAGAAACTAGACTCGTGCTACCAGCGCTCCAGCATCTTGTCGTCCAAGATGTCTCATATGAGGACACCGTAGAAGCACTCAAAGAGTGTTGGGACGCACTTCTCGCTGTCCTGAAGAGGCGCAAGCGTGCGGGGTTCCCTATCCGCTACCTCACCCTGGCCGGATATGGTGAATTTCCCTCGTTCAAGTTTACAGGCGAGGAGCTGGCTCTCGTCAAAGAGCAAGATGTCTCGTACGTGCGACGCGCCGAGAAGCTTGTCGATAAGCTATTCGACTCCCGGATCCATGACCTGGAGGATACGAGACGCCTTGTAAAATATGTACAGCCGTTACAATAGTGCGAAGTGGAAGGGACTGCTACTATTGGACACCAGTACTATAAGTGCATAAAGACATCGTTCCTACTGCTCTTTCGACACGTACACAGTAGCGAACACTAGAAGAGCATCAACTTCTTATACAGCCAATGTCGCCTCTTCGCCTTCTATAGGCCAAAAAGCCTCCTCCAGCTCGACCACACGCTCCCAGATGAGTTCGGCACGCTTCCACCTCTCAGATCCAGGTTGTACGTCGAACGCATCGACCAGCTCGGCGATATCCCTCACGAAGCGGACGAACTCGTCGCATGTCCAGTTCTTGGCCAGTTCGCGTATAGGGTCGACAGAGCTGCCCTTCTGCCGGACGAGCTTGTCGACGTGACGCCATGAATCGAGGTAGACCTAGTGCGTAGCTGAACGGCGCGCGAGTCGTGCGACAGTATACTAACGCACCTTCTCCATCGCCCAGAGGAAGACCAAGCCGTCAAAGAGATCTCCCTCGCTGGAGACACGCGCCATCTCCGCAAGATAGTCGCGCGTGCCCTTCCTCTCCTTCCATCCGTTCACGTTGAATCCATGAGCCGTACCGAGATCATCAAAGAAGCCGACTTCTCTGACGACGTTCTGCAGACAGAAGACCAGAACCTCGAGCGTACGCGCGTTCTGCTTCTCTTCCTTCGAAAGCGTCGCATGTTCGGAGGAGTAGGGTATCGCAGCGATCAAGCGGCCGATGAAACGCGGGTAGCCGTGCGCGGCGTACAGTCTGTCTTGCGCGAGCCATAGAGCTAATCGGGGAAGAGGAAGGGTTCCTTCCCCAGCGGCAGTCAGAAATAGATGTTTCGTGGCCTTGTCATACGGACAGGCAGTTTTGATCGTAGGTAGATGCTCGGTGAGCGAAGAGGCGCTCATGGCGGTCCAAGAGAAGCGCGCGTGAGAAGTCGCGCCTCGTGCTATCATTGGACGTCATCAGTCGGCGTTTAGCGCGTAGCTTCGGTAGATTTCAGCTCCTGCTTTCACGTCCCTGTCTCGAACTTGGCTTGTGCCCTCGTGCGCTCTCTTACTGGGATATAGGCTCTGTGCTAGGACTATTGGGCTACTCTGGGATTGCTGTGCTCTAGCTCGGGAAGTTTTCTGCATCGTACGGACCATAGTTCGGACATCATTGTGCTGCACAGGATCTTCAATTCTCAGCCATGTCTTCCCCTCCCAACGGTGACGGCATTATATCCTCGTCGCCTCAATCTATTCGAATAGTCGGGCGTGACGGCTCTCCTGTGCACGCCCGCAACTCCTCTCCCACCAATACCCGAAATAACGACATCGAACGCGCCCACTCCAACTCGCCCACGCTCGCCCGCCATTCGCCCTCGATATCCCGCGCGCACCACAACCCGTTGGACCCCGATGTGCGCGAGCGTCAACGCACGATGGATGCTGACATGGCGATGCACCTCTCACGCGCACGCCGCTCGTCCGTTTCATCCTCGCCGACGTTGCCTACCCCCTTTCATCACGCCGACATCCACACACCACGCGACGTCCTCGAGCGAGAGCATTATCAGCATGAAGATATGTTCCCGACATTCTCGCTGCAGGAGGAGAGGGATCTGGAGTCGGCGAAACGTGGGCCGGCTGAGATGGACGCTGTAACGGGGTTACCGGAGGAGGACGAGCCGACATCATATGAGCGCGTTCCGTCGCCCGACCTCGGGCTCGCTCGTCTGGCTCTAAGCCAAGGGCACGAGCCGACATTACTTGCGGGCTCACGGCCAAGACAGTCACCAGAACCCGATACAACGGAGACAGGGCTACCACTATACCAACCGCCTGTCATACATGACAGACCGACGTTTCGCTTTGGCCTCATGGAGGACTTCGCAAAGTCCGAGAAGCGCGCATTAGGCCTGGCTACGCCCGGAGACGAGTTAGGACCCGCATCGTTCCTGCGCCAACGGTCAAGTCATCAGGGAGCGGGGGGAAGTGGTGAGAACGACGCCGGACCAAGCGCACCGCCAGACTTTATCATCCCGCCCAGCCGTCCGACTCGCGAGCGTAAACTCAGCCATAGCAACCACGTCCCACGAAGACAAGGAGGAGGGAAGATGGCTCTATTCGAGTCCGGCGCTACCGGCGCATCATCGATGTCGGCGCCGCGTCTATCGCACCTCTCTCCTCCGGGGCCGCTCAATAGCGCGCTCTCGTCGTTTGAGAACTTACCCGCTGCTGCTGCTCTGAGCACGCCGGGAATCTTGCCAGGCGGGAATGGCGGTCACGATCGACCGTACCGCTTCTCGTTCTACTCTAACGCATTGAGCGCGACCATCCACGCGAGGAGTCTGAGCGAACTGCCTGCGGAAGACCAGTCGTTCGAGGACATGTTCTCGGGCTCGGTCGGCGCCACTCGTCAGGCAGCTAATGGGAAGGGTGTGGCATCCGAAGTCTCTACGGCACCGCAGTCGTACAGTGCTTCGCCGGCGCCGGGATCGTACTTTCCCGAGAAGCTCGGGTCGAAAGGCGGAAATGGTCTTGGACCTGCTGGACCCACTATTCCCAACTACGCGCGCATCAATGGCGATGGCGAGGGTCATACTTGGTGGCTGGATGTGCTATCACCGACGGACGAGGAGATGAAGTTGCTCAGTCAGGTATATATTTTGCAGTCGCACCTTCACTGCGAATGCTGACTGGTTATAACAGGTCTTCGGCATTCATCCACTTACAACCGAGGATATCCAGACGGAGGAGTCGCGAGAGAAGATCGAGCTCTTCCGCACGTATTACCTTGTGTGTTTCCGGTCCTTTGATCAAGATCCGTACAGCCCAACGCATCTCGAGCCGGTGAACATGTACATCATCGTCTTCCGCGAGGGCATCCTCTCCGTACGTCTTCTTCTACCTCTATGCACTCGTGAGCCTTTACTGACGTCTCTCATTAGTTCCACTTCCGAGCCACACCGCACCCGCAGAACGTCCGCCGTCGCATCAAGCAATTGCGAGACTACATCTCTGTCACCTCCGACTGGATATCGTACGCGCTCATTGACGACATCACGGACGCGTTCGGGCCGCTCATTCAGAGCATCGAGTATGAGGTCGATAGTATCGATGAGCTCGTCCTCATCCTGAAGGACGCCGAGCAAAGCGACATGCTTCGGAGGTACGCATTCACATCTTCGAGCGCTATATGTAGATGCTGACCAGATCATAGGATTGGGACGTGCCGCAAGAAGGTCATGGGCCTATTACGATTGATGGGTAACAAGGCCGACGTCGTCAAGGGTCTCGCTAAACGCTGTAACGAGAACTGGAAGGTGGCACCCACTGGTGACATCGTGAGTCTGCTCGTCCTGCCTGTGTACCTACTCTCACACACGGTGTCCAGGGACTATACCTCTCCGACATCCAAGATCACTTAATCACGATGACCCAGAATCTGAACCACTACGAGAAGATTCTGTCACGCTCCCATTCGAACTACCTTGCCCAGATCTCCATCGAGATGACAGACGCGAACAACCAGATCAACGACGTGCTCTCCAAACTCACAGCGCTGGGTACCGTACTGGTCCCCATGAACCTGATCACCGGTACGTCTTTCCGCATCACGCGCGTGTTCTATTCTGACTGGGGCACAGGTCTCTGGGGCATGAACGTACACGTTCCTGGCCAGGACATCGAGGAAGGGTACGCGTGGTTTGGCGCAATCGTGGGTGCTCTTGCCGCCATCGCGCTCATCGGTGGCTACACTACTTATAAACTCATGACCCGGTGACCGCTCCTTTCATATGATCACCCGTCTCTTACGGTTCTTTCTGTTTTCTTTGCATTCGCGCCTTGCTTTCAATTCGCTCTGGCATCTTAGATGACTTCTTTGCTTATCCTCATTCGGTCTCTCGCACGCAACATTCGTCAGGACGCTCTACATTGTATCTTATACTCGTACACGCTACCTATCTCCGTGCCGCACGTCGAACCTCATCCGCTGCAATTCACTATCATACCTACAGCGACAGGACTTTATCACGCTAACGCTAATACGGATAATCTGTCGGCGGCTTTTCGTCTGGCTGAAGAAGCCCCTCTTCCACCTGCTTACGATGGCATTCCTCGAGGTAGGGTAGGATGTACTGCTCGTACTGGTCACGATTCTTGTATCTGCGGAACATGATCAGTACTTCTTCGACACTACTGAAGACGGATAACGAACCCTGCTACGTCTTGCGGCCAGCTCCTGATCGCGCTCGCCGCACGCCCCGGTACACCCGGCTCACGCGCCAACTCTTCCAGCGGCACCACATACGTCCGTATAGTAAAGCACACAGCACCAGTCCTCGGCAACCGCCTTAGGCTCTGCCTCTCCATCCTCAACCGCATCTGCCCCGGGCCCGGATCCCCGCGTGCTGCTTCTTCACCGGTATTATCCGACAGACCCCGTCCAGGCGCGAACGCGTCCTCCTCGCCGACCATGTACTCCGCCCAGCCGAGCTCGTGCGGGTCGCGCTCTTCGGCCGGGGAGGAGGGGTCGTTGACGAGCTTGAAGAAGTAGTTGTTGCGCTGGATGAGCTTGTCGGGCGTGAGGCGCGCGAAGAAGCGGTTCATGCTTGCTTTGAGCTTCGTTTGGTCTGGGATACTGGATTAGCGCCTGCGTGTTGAATGGGGAGCGTGGAGCTTCGGTGTGCTTACATTGTGGGACGTTGCCGGATAGGTGAATGTCGTCGAGCGACATGCCGAGTTTGTCTTCCAGGCGCCAGAAGCCTAGATGATGGTGAGGGACTAGTGACTTGGACTGGTACTACCTTGTGCTTACCTGCGGTGAGGATAGACCCAGAACGGAGGTAATACACCCCATCCTTTCCCTCCAGCATGAGCGCGAGATCATCTTGCACGCTGCATCACCGTCACGACGGTCAGCTGGCGAAGCGGAGATCGGACGTCTACTACTCACAGTAGTCCAGCGACTGTCATCGGATCCTCCTTGTCAAGGTCATACGTGACAGAGATCGGCGGCAACATCGTGATCTTGTGTATACGACCCTCGCCGTACCAGCCTGGCTCGCCGCTCGCACCTACGGGGTGACGCTCGACCGAGTAGTTCTGAGGATACCGTCTGGAGAGGTATTCGGCGAGCTCGAGTACAAGCTCACGCGCTGTCCACAAGTAAGTCTCGGCATGTAATGCGATCTGCAGCATGGTGCATACCCGCGTCGAACCCGGAGACGGGGACCACATCGCTCGCAGGTAAGGTTCCGATGAGCTTGCTGCCTCGCTGTTCGGCGCGGTACGACCGTAGCCGGTGGTAGTGTGCGTATTGCTGATCCAGCTACATGATCGCTCAGCCCAACTTGCGCATTCTCCCAGTTCGTATGGCTCGCACCTCAATCCAGTCGTCAAATGACACTGTGCGGATACCCATCGTGACACTGTTTCAGTGCGCGTTAGCTTGGCGAGGATCTACACACACACAGCTGATCAACGCACTGGTAGTCACCCCAGCGGAACGGTCGGTACGGTATGAGCGGCGTCTCGGAGAGCGGCTTAGGCCACGGCTTGAACCTCGGGAACTCGAACTTCGGTGTGTCTAGCGCTGCACGCCATGAGCGCTTGAACGCGCGATGTGAAGTGAAGTTCAGCGCAGCGCACCTCCTTTCTCGCTCGCATCGGCACTCGAACTTCCTTCGCCTGCAGGTCGTTTCACGAATCGCCACAGCCTTCCGCCAAAGCGCGCTACGATAAGGACAGCCCAGAGGCATAGCACGATGGCTCTGTGTTCCTGCACCCAGGGGATGATGTCGACGGACATGATACCGACTCTGCGCGCGACGAGTGTGTAGACCAGTCTCTGTGTGGGGACAGAGAGAGTAGGTGGCTCAGATAGGGGCTAGGCTGCAGGCGTGAGGTATAGCTCAGGCGCTCGACCCCGCGGCGAAGTAGAACTAGACACTGGATAAGAGATAACCGATAACGTTTCGCCCGTCTATCTCTCTCCGCGATACAGTACGTACGCGTACAGCATGTTTCTGATCCATTCAGAACCGTATCTGGCGCCTGAACAGGTGAGCAGCATTCGAGTTCGTGGAGCGGAGGCCGGCGGAAGGCCTCTCATGAGAAGATGGACGGCAAATGGACGGGCTCACGGGACGCAGATTCAGCTTCAGCGCCACAGGACGCTATATGCAGATCTTCTCACCGGCGGGGTGCTGCGGCTTCTCACGTAACGAGATAAGCGCCGCATGAGATAGTTCGAGCTTGGAGGGACGTGCGGTATAGGCGCGATATTGTTGGCCCTGGCTGAACACGACCGGCCATCATCCGTTTAGGCGTGCCACAGACCAGCTCTGGTCAGGCTTTCGCCGAATACAGCTTTGTTGAGAAAGTACTGGATTCAATCTCGCAAGCCCGATCGGCATCATATAACACTTCGTACAGACTAGCACAAGCCTATGCAGTAGCGCTTCCAGACAAGACGAGCTTCTCTGATTCAGTCGGTTGACTGAGCGTGGTTTGAGGATTCGGCCATATCTTGTCCAGGATAATATCGCGGAAGTCTTGAACGCGTTCAAGATCTTCTTGTCTACAGTGCGCATAGTCAATACGCGAAGCGAGAAGGAGATAGAGGAGACCGCACTTGATCAAGCCTTGATCAAGTTGACGCTGCGTCAACTCCCGGAGGTAGGGAATGAGCCTATCCTTGTACACGTAGTCCAGTTTGTGCTGCGCACCGAATGAGTATGGTCTACGCCGGAAAGGGAGGGCAGACGTACATGCATAAGCTTATGGTCGCCGTCGGTGTAGTGCTTCTCGACCAGAGCTGGTACAAGAGGCATCTCCGCCAGGTCCTCGACGCGCTTCTGAACGACGTGTCTGTGAGAGTAGTCAGCGGAGAGTATTGTTTGAGAGCGAGAGGCGCTTACACGCCGAACGCGATGCCATTCGAACGCGGAAGCTTGCGGAAGGTTTGGTGATCCATTCGCAGCCACAAATCCCTAGGATGTATCTGCTCCGAAAGACTCTCCGTCTTGACCATGTTGTCTACAGGAAAGCGCGTCAGCAGTAGCAGGCTCAGTAGAAAAACTGTACGTACGATAGTGGATGTTTCGGTCGTCTGTAATGGTCCATGACGTGCGTTCGAACGGTTCAGTGGGCTTGAAGCGTTTGAGGGTCCGTTCCACGCTCATCAGGATCTTCTCGTTGAAGTATGGTACACCAGCGTGGACTTGACCGATCCATTGCCCGATGTACTGCGAGAGTAAGTAGAAACCTATCACAAAGGTTAGACGCAGGCAAAGAGCATGATAGATGATGGCGTACCGGGGAAGGCAATCAAGCCCCCAGTAAAGTAAACTTTGCCGTCTGCGCGTTCGCGCCCCATAAGGAAGTCGTCTTGAACGAGTTTGGAAATGACGCGGAGCGCGTCTGTGCCGCGTACGCCCGTTAGGTCTGGGAAGCGCTCGTCTGTAGCCTTGTTCCAGATACCGTTCGTGCCAAGAGGCTCGAATAAGGTAGGGTACCGCTTTGGGAGATAGTCGACCAGGATCTCAAGCAGCTCCGCACATGCCTCGTCGTTATCCGGGAGCGAATCCATGACGACCTTGCCTTTCGGGAAGTCAGTCGTGCAAGTGAAATGCTAGGAAGGAGACGCACCATGCTCCTCGATCACACGCTGCTTCTCCTCAATATACCAACGGTAATCCTTGTCGATCTCTATCCAGTCGTTGACATTCATAGGCTGGTGCGACATTGTCTGTGCAAAAGGTCAGACAATGAAGAATGCTAGCAAGAACGTCAGATGCTACACACCTGGAAGTATGGCCATCGGATTGTCTTATTGACGTAGATGTGATTCCTAACATGAGCGGACTCGAGGACAAAGTTGTGAAGCGCATCAGGTGCGGGCAGCGAAGTCTTCTCAGGCGCGACCTCGACGGACGCGCCGCGCGAGGGAGGAGCTGGGGTACGGCGCGTGTAGCGCACGTAGAAGCCAGCAGCAACAGCGGCGACGGCCCCGGCGACAATAAAGTCTAGTAGAGTAAGAGGCATGGTGGGATGCAGGTCTTTCCGTGGGCTGGTGTGCTCAAAAGAGATCACACAAGCGAACTAGCTCACGAAGCCGGCGGGAGGAGTGCGGGAAAGATAGCTATGAAGAAGGTTCTCACCGATACCCTCCGAAGACCAAGACACCAGCATCTAGAGTACGTCAACGGCTGCCCGTTTGCCACGCTACAAAGGCGGCTACACAGCCAGAGAAGCCTTGAGGGCAGGTGAGCTTCTAGATAACGCTCCAGGCGCCCAGCGATGCGAAGAGCTTATCTCCTCCATTGCACATGACGACCCCTTTACAGTAGTTCTGATCTTCGTGCTGAAGTTTGACTATCGAGGAGTAGAGTAGGCATGATCGTGGCGCTGTACGGCCTGCGTATGGACCTCGAGGTTCGAAGCAGGAGGCAAGGACGTCGCGCGGCTGATGACGTGCGGAAAATGCCGGGCGGGCGTTCAACGAAGTCCAACTTGCGCTTGCCCACCAACTCATTTGACCAATGCCAAGTACATGATCCCGACAGCGCCTAACTCTGTCTTGTCTGGGTAGCAGAAGCTAGCCCGAACAGCTACGTTTACATCTCGGAACCTCGTGCCGTGCATGTTACAGTCCACGAGCGTCCCGCTGTGCAGGACTGAGGCGAACAACCTGAGTCTCCTGATCTCACCAGCTGCTCCCGTCTGATCTGCATACCGCTTTATCGATGATTTCAAGGGTTCCGCCGATGAGCGTCGGTGAGATCCTGGCCGCGACGACCGGCATTCTGTGGATCTTAGACTTACGCGCGGGACACGCTCTCCTTATCTGACACAAAATGGACTCCAGGCGATAGGCTGCGTTCTCGTAATGAACCTTGCAGGCGATAGAGGTGACGCTATCTATATCAGACGCCGCATCAGCGGCTGGGTATCCTCTACTTTCCGTCCTCCGACTCGCGAGCTCGAGGCCGCCACCCTTGCCATCGCCATCCTCTCCTCATAGCATTTACCATGTCGACCGAACCTCTGTCCAATAACGGTCTGTTTGCCACCTCAATCTCGGTTTTTCTGATGCTGACGATACCAATACACAACACAGACGGCAACAAGAACCTACCCTCTTCTTGGTACCGCTCAGATGCGATCTACCAGTTGGAGAGACGCGCGATCTTTGGCAAGAAATGGCTCTTCATCTGCCACACCAACGTGCGTTGTATAGTCCTTGAGTCAGTATGCGAATGATTCTAACGCATCTCGCTTGCAGCGCTTCACTAAGGCTGGCGAGTACATCCGCTTCAAGATGGCCGGCTACAACTTCTTCCTCATCAAAGATCGTGACGGCAACATCAACGCGTTTCACAACGTCTGCAGGCATCGCGCGTTCCCCGTCGTAGGCAGCAAACAGGAGGTCGAGAAGGATCCCATGGTCGAGGCGGGTCAGGTGTCCATCCTCGCGTGCAAGTTCCACGGATGGAGCTATACCATGAAGGGCGCGCTCGCCAAGGCGCCGCTCTTCCAAGATCAGCCGCACTTCGACGCGTCCAAGAACGGTCTTCTACCCATACGCACGCATATCGACAGGTTGGGCTATGTTTACGTGAACATGGACACGTACGTTCTCGCAGTATACGGTCTCTTTGCGCGACACTGATACCGGTGATCTAGGTCGGATAACTATCTTAAGTGGGAAGAGCAGTTCGGTGACCTCGACAACCAGCCGCGCGTCGAGAACTTCCCGATTGACAAGTATAAGTACGCGTTTAGCTGGTCCTTTGAAAACTGTGCGTGTTCTCGCCCTTCGTCGACCCTACTCCCGACTAACTCTCGTATAGGCGACTACAACTGGAAGACGCTCGTTGATAACGTACGCATAATGAACGACTTTTTGCTTGCTCGCAACTAACGCGGCATAAAGTATAACGAATGCTACCACTGTCGCGTGGCGCATCCTGGCATTGCTAGCGTGCGTTTTCACCTTTCTTCACTCCTTGGTGGTACTTACACGGCGAGTAGACGGTTGACTTAAAGACGTACTACGTGAAGGGCTCGTTCAGCTACGTCGCGCACTTCTCCCCGCCCAAACCCGAGAACGCGGCGAAGGAAGAGAACGGGTCGATCGTCGCGTCATTCATCTTCCCATTCGCCTCGTGAGTACTTCAGGCGCGACTCCATGGGCTCAGATACCAGCGTACTCACGCTTCCGATATAGGATCACCTTGATGCCTTCCTACGCTTACACCATGCGCGTCGTGCCTATCGACGCTCATCGGACGGAGATGCAGTACGACGTCTACAGGCCTACAGACGCTACAGACGAGGCGTTCGACGAGACGCACAAGTTCTTCGTGCAGGTAGAGGAGGAGGACAAGTTCCTCTGCGTACGTTGCCGTTCACCTCCCACGCGACCCTCTGACTCACAGGTCGTCGCAGACAAACGCCCAGAAGAACATGGAAGCCGGCGTATACACCACGGGTCCATTACACACCGTACGTTCCTTCCATACTCAACGTCAATCAACCCATGCTGATCGTGCTTGCTATACAGCGGCAAGAACACGGCGTGATCTACTTCCAGAAGCTCGTGCGCGACGCGCTTATGGAACATCGCGCGCTTGAGGAGAAGGAGGGCAGGGAGATCAATCCTGTGTTGCCGGACGGCGGGGCGCGGTCGACGGAGGATATCTTTTGTACGAAGTTGGAGTCTGCGTGTGGGACGCCGAAGCATCTCGAGTGGTGAGCTTGTACGATCGAGTTCAATGTATCATTTCTGTACGATAGGCATCCATTTCATTTCCGTCGGACTATTCGAAGTCGAGCGTGATGGTGCATGGTGAGTATGATAGGTGAAGACGTGTACAGGCAGTGCGGCGATTGACGGCGCAGCGTTATGCCAATTGATGATGCTGCGACGGTGATGAATGTGGTACTTCTCCGTGTAGACGGACTGGTCGGCTTGTGTGCGACCAACAGGTCCAAATGTAAGAACTGGCTGTCTTCATGCATGTTAGAGCTGGTGTCATCGGGCTCTCCGGCTTCATTGTTGTGGACCGCAATTGGTGTCTCATCACAGCGCAGCGCGAGCATTGACCCATCGTAGCAGGGTGAAGCGTTCTTTCAGAGCTAGGTATGAGCTATGTCTCGCAGCTGAAGAATTGTCTCATCTTAGAAGAGCGTCTACTCGCATATGTGGCGATAGGATGACACCGGTAATGGAAAGCGCATCCTGGTCGATTCAACTGTGCCAAGGCTGTCTGGACGCTCAGAGTTGCCAGCAACGATCAACATACGCATGAATGGCATTGCTAGAAGAGGTTACGACATATCGAGGCGAATAGAACACGACGAGTACGCGGACAGCAACACTTTCTAAACGCATACATCGGGCTTGCTAACTCCACCCTACCGCTACCGTACAGCGTAAAGGGCCATCCCAAACCGGAGGAGCTGTTCTCATGCTTCCTAGGTCCTTCCGTTCATTGAGGAGACTTGCGCGCTTGTCAGAAGATGGACGTCAGAGCCCTCCATCTCTGACACACCGATGCGAACTTCGAAGCCCTGGGCGGAGGGTTGTACCGTTGTAGTGATGTCCGGATGGAGGCTGGAAGCTTCAGGTTGGGCGAGTATAGGGCAACGGCTCCCGGCAAGCCGCATAAAGCATAAGGTCACAGCCAGTCCGGAGAAATGTACGCCGCGAGAGGCAGCAGGCGCGGTTTGAAGGTCAACAAGCCTCGGACAAATGCGGGTTAAGCGCTAGAAGCGTGCTACGGTCCTTCCGCATTCGGCATTAAACTTGCACGCGACAAGGGCAAACTGCGGGGCGAGTGAGTTGAGCGCCCAGGCAACGGTATCCCAGGCCGTGTATATGGCTGGGTTGGGGCGCACAGCATGGAAGCATCGGATGGAGCGCGGATAGCGGATGACGAGGGCAGGTCAAAGGGCACGCGAGTCGCGGCCGCTGCGTTCGTTCATTGCATGTACTGTACTGCTGGACGTCTCGGACGAAGAAGGAAGGCCTTTGTTTCGATACGGTACGCCAGCGGCTACACAAAAGAGGGCAGAAAGAAGCGAGGGATGTTCTCGGCCTCATCAAGCGAGGGTGCACGTGTTGGCCACGCGAGATGCCCTTCGCCCTGGTGGCTTGCGCGCGGGTACTTAGTCGGGGCAGGGCGAAGGGTATCAACACCTTCATCCGAACTCTGCGTTTCTTCCCGAACGTCCACCATCCTTGCTAACAGGCGCGTGCTCCTCCGTCCCCGCCCTCGTCGTCGACAGCGATCCTGACATATATTTTTCCTTAGTCCCTTCACCCGCTCCCATCTACACCAACGTGAGTTGCCTGCGACGCGTTTGAACGCGTCATAGTTGCTAACCCGCCAGCGCACAGATGCCTGAGACTCGCGAAGACTCTGTCTACCTCGCCAAGCTCGCTGAGCAGGCTGAGCGCTACGAGGGTGCGTGTATCGATCAGATTCTACGATATGCGCTTTACTTACGTCTTATCTTTTTGTAGAGATGGTCGAGAACATGAAGCGCGTCGCTTCGTCCGACCAGGAGCTCACTGTCGAGGAGCGCAACCTGCTCTCCGTTGCTTACAAGAACGTCATCGGCGCTCGTCGTGCCTCATGGCGTATCGTGTCCTCCATCGAGCAGAAGGAGGAGTCGAAGGGTAACGAGGCCCAGGTCGCTATGATCAAGGGTTACAGGGAGAAGATCGAGAGCGAGCTCGCGAAGATCTGCGAGGACATCCTCGACGTCCTTGAGAAGCACCTTATTCCCTCCGCTGCGACTGGCGAGTCGAAGGTCTTCTACCACAAGATGTAAGTCGATCTTTGATCTTTTCGTCACGTGCAAGTTCTGATTATCTGGATAGGATGGGCGACTACCACCGCTACCTCGCCGAGTTCGCCACCGGCGACAAGCGCAAGGACTCCGCCGACAAGTCGCTCGAGGCTTACAAGGCCGCGTCCGACGTCGCCGTCACCGAGCTCCCGCCCACACACCCCATCCGCCTCGGCCTCGCGCTCAACTTCTCGGTCTTCTACTACGAGATCCTCAACTCGCCCGACCGTGCCTGCCACCTCGCAAAGCAGGCGTTCGACGACGCGATCGCGGAGCTCGACACCTTGTCCGAGGAGTCCTACAAGGACTCCACGCTCATCATGCAGCTCCTCCGCGACAACTTGACGCTCTGGACCTCGGACATGCAGGACTCGGACAAGCCGGCGGACGCGAAGGACGAGGAGGCACCCGCAGATGAGGCATAAACGCCTCGATCGGTCTTCTCTCTCTTGCTCGTCGTCGGAACCTTATCTTGTAGCTTACCTCCTTCATTGACCCACTCCCCCCATCCATACGTTGCATGTCTCTGTCCTCCGTTCCCGTCTCGATGAATCAAATGAAGTCAAACGCTCTTCTAATCCTCACTCCCTGCGTGAACGTGTGATGATACGATAAAGATCGTATTGCGGCCGCGGCGTGTAATCGGTGGCTGAGCAGCTTGCTGTGCGACGCTCAATGAATGGCGCCCGTTAGCCGCGCGGGAATACACGTAGGTCGTACACGCGGTGCGCACAAGGTGGTGGTCCAGTTGTCGATCGGTATGTATGATTGTGGACTCGCATGGAAGGTGACGGAACACCATTGTGCGTTCATTGATTCGTGTGTGGTTTACGCGATCGCGCTCTGACTCGCGCGTCGCATATACACGACCAGAACGACCGTACTCTACTGTACATCTCATAACTTTATTTAGCTAAATAAATATATTCCGCTACGTCGTGGAGATGGAGATCAAGGAACCCGCATTCTGCTGACCCGAGAAGACGGACAAAGCGGCATCCTCGGGAACAGCCGAGTTCTTTGTGATGGCTCCAAGACGACACCTCACGGCCTCGCCGTCTTCCCCTTCACCCAGGAAAAATATGAAAATGACATGAATCAATCAGAGATGCACATGAGAGAGCCTGAGTACCAAATGGTGTTAAAATACGGAGGGGGACGAGAGCGCGGCCGCCAGGACTCTCGGCGCTTGTAGGGCGATGTAAACGCGGCCGCACGCTCGCACCTCACTTGATATCGACCACCACGACCACTAACTCTGGCTCTACTCTAACCGCCTCGTAAAAATCCGCTCGGTGCGTTACGAGTCCCATAGGGCCGCTATGTCCCCATCCCCGACGTCTTCTCGCGGCACGCCGACTCGGCGCGGCGTGGGCCGCGGCCGCGGGGGTACGCCCCGCGCTGGCGCAACCGCCTCGCCCAGTCCTGCACCAACAAATACGTCAACACCCAAGCCTAGTCGAATCGGGCCGTATTTTACATCTTGCCTGTCGATTCCCGTTCAGGGCGCCAAACCGATCGCGCGTCCAAACGGAACTTCGACTTCACCATCAAACGTCTCTGCGCCATCTGGATCTGGATCTTCTAACGCTGCTTCCTCCTCCGCTCCTGCTGCTATTTCAAAGTCTACTTCTGTCTCTGCTGCTAGTACTTCTCAGGATGACTCTAATGCTCGTCGTGCTCCGCGGAAATCCAAGACTGATGCGATGGCTGCTCTCGCCAACCACAATGAGCGCGAAGACGACGATGCTAGGCGGGCGGGGAACCCCGCAGACAGTCTTTCTACGATCTTCGGGAAGGGCGCCGAGCCGATCCCGACTGAGCCTCGCCTTAATATGTCTACTGTGAAGACTCGCTCTCCTCGCCTCAAATCGGGCGGCACCTCTCAGGCGTCGACGTCGCGCCCTTTCGGACTGGACGAATGCCCCACATATTTCCCCACTGCGGAGGAGTTTGCGGACCCTATGGCGTATATGCGTCAAATCGGCCCTGAAGCACGAGAGTACGGTATCGCGAAGATCGTGCCGCCCGAGAATTGGGAGATGCCGTTCGTAACGGACACGGAGGTGCGCTTGAACGTACACGTATATTTTCGGATTTATTGACTGAAACGATGGCGCAGCGATTCCGATTCACGACTCGGCTTCAACGGCTCAACTCCATCGAGGCGAGCTCTCGCGCGAAACTCAATTTCCTGGAGCAGCTCTATCGCTACCACCAGCAAGTCGGGAACACGCGCGTCTCGGTGCCCACGATCAACAACAAGTCGCTGGATCTGTGGCTTCTTCGTAAGGAGGTCGAGAAGATGGGCGGTTATCAGGCTGTACGTATTACTATTTCTTGTTCTGACGCATTGTTTCCGGGCGATGCGGGGACGGCGAGCGCTTGGGTCTGTGGGCGCATGCGTGCCTTGAGGCGGCCGTTCTAGCGCCTTGCTGACTCAGCGCGCCTCGAGCGCCCTCTGCCGCACATCGTGCCGAAAGCGAGTCCATCACTGACGCTCCATTCACCTAACAGATCAACAAGGCGCGCAAGTGGACTGACGTCGGAAGGCAGCTGGGATACACGGGCGTCCCTGGGCTCTCGACGCAGCTCAAGAACGCGTACACACGTGTGATCCTGCCGTATGAAGAGTTCCAGCGGCATGTCAAGGCGTCTCCCGCGCTCGCGCATATCTCCACTGCTGCGCGCGATCCCAACCTTCGCACGCACGCGCCGCCGCAGGCGAGTGCGTCTTCGACTGCTGCGAGTACGGCGACGGCGGTCTCTACTGCAGCGAGTTCAACCGTGGTGGCGCCCGAGAGCCCGCTTTCGGATGAGGAGTCCGAGCTTTCTGAGATGGAGGTTGAGGACGATAAGTCGGCGTCGGCGTCGCGATCCAGGAGGTCTACGAGGGGATCCTCGCTTGACACGACTCGTAAGTCTACCTGATATGTATGTGGAACCGACATGGACTGATGGTCTTTCATAGCGTCAAAGAAACCTATGTCGACAGCTGTCCCGCCACTACAACCTGTGAAGAATGCTACCACTCGCGCCGACAGGGATCGCGAGTCTGACGAGGATTCCGGCGAGGTACGTGTTCAGAGCTCTCTTCTCGATGTCATCGGCTGAATATTCTCATCCATTCTAGCAAGCGTGTGAAGTATGCCATAGCAATGACAACGGCGAGGAGATGTTGTTGTGCGATGGCTGTGACTGCGGTACGTGCTTTCTGCTACTACGGCCGCCATGATCAGCAACTCACTGTCTTGATATAGGCTTCCACATGTTCTGCCTAGACCCGCCCCTCCATACCATCCCAAAGGGGCAATGGTTCTGCCACACCTGCCTCTTCGGGACGGGCGGTGACTACGGATTCGATGAGGGCGAAGAGCACACCTTGACGTCGTTCCAAGCGCGGGACGCGGAATTCCGCAAGCTCTGGTTCACGTCTCACCCTCCGGATCAGACGAAGCACGACCCCAGCGACGCCGTCGCGTACAAGTACGGTGAGGTGACCGTCACGGAGAACGACGTCGAGAACGAGTTCTGGAGGCTCGTGGAGGATCCGAATGATACGGTCGAGATTGAATACGGCGCCGACGTGCATTCGACGACGCACGGCTCGGCAAGCCCGACGCTGGAAACGCATCCGCGCAACCCGTACGCCAAGGATCCATGGAACCTCAACAACATGTCTATTCTCCCCGACTCGCTACTGCGCTACATCAAGAGCGACATTTCGGGCATGACGGTGCCGTGGATCTACGTCGGCATGGTGTTCTCGACGTTCTGCTGGCACAATGAGGACCATTATACTTACAGCGTCAACTTCAGTACGTATCGTTCATCTCTATGTCATCCACGAGGGCGGACTAACAAGCGCATCAGTGCACTGGGGAGAGACCAAGACGTGGTACGGTATTCCGGGCGCGGATGCCCAGAAGTTCGAGGCCGCCATCAAGAGCGAGGCGCCCGACCTCTTTGAAGCGCAGCCTGACTTGCTGTTCCAGTTGGTCACCCTCATGAAGCCCGATCGTCTCCGCGAGGCCGGCGTCCGCGTATTTGCATGCAATCAGCGCGCCGGCGAGTTCGTCGTTACGTTCCCGAAGGCGTACCACGCCGGCTTCAACCAAGGGCTAAACTTCAATGAGGCGGTCAACTTTGCGCTTCCCGACTGGCTTGACTTTGGGCGTGAGTGTATCCAGCGCTACCGCGAGCATCGGAAGCTGCCCGTGTTCTCTCACGACGAGCTACTCATGACGATCACGCATCACTCGCAGACGATCGCGACTGCGATGTGGTGAGTACTATGTGCTACATCAGCGTCGTGATGCCAACTCATCGTTCTCCACAGGTTGAAAGGTAGTCTTTTGGAGATGACGAACCGTGAACGCGCGAACCGTGCCAAGGCGCGCTCGCTGAAGCTGCAAGAGGTGCTGGAGCAGGAGGATCGGCCAGAGGACCAGTATCAATGCACCGTCTGCAAGGTGTTCTGTTACCTCTCGCAGATCACCTGCGGCTGCACCAATCGTGTCGTCTGCGCCGACCATGCCGAGCAACTCTGCTCTTGCGCGACGGAGCAGCGCGCGCTTCGTCTTCGTTTCTCCGACGCTGAGCTGCAGGCTACGGCTGCCACTATCGAGGAGCGCGCTCGTGCACCCGTCGAATGGGTCGGTCGTCTCAACGCGCTTCTGAACAACACACCGCGACCCCCACTCAGCGCGATGCGTGCCCTCGTATCTGACGGCCGACGGATTCAACACCCGCTGGAGGGTCTCGACGCTCTTGCCAAGTTCACGTTTGAAGCAAGCCGTTGGGTGGATTCCGCCAACGCGATTCTCGAGCGTAAGCCAAGCGTCAACGGCACGACCTCACGATCTGCCAACACCCCTACACTCGCGCATGTTCAGAACCTCATGGTCACTGCGCGCAAGCTCGGCTTCGAGACGCCCGAGATCGCGAGTTTGGAGAAGGTCGCTACGCAAGCCGAGGATCTACAACAGCGCGCGACAGAACTACTTGCTACCATCGATCGCCGCGCTTCTGCCTGCGATGCCGTTATATCCGAGGCATCCGTACTCAACATCATCATACCCGAGGTCGACAACCTCGCGAACCTCCTGCAGAGGGAGGAGGTGCTAAGCGAGCTACGCATCGAGGTCGAGGATAATGCGATGAGCCTGACCGAGGTCTCGACGCTGCTCGCGAGGGCGTATGCTTTAGGTCTCACGCCGGAGAACAAGGATATTCGCGCGCTTGAGCAGCGTCAGCTGGAGGGTCAGAGCTGGGAAGAGCGCGCGCGTCATGTTCTACATCAACCGTACAAGACCATCGACGAGCTCGCGCGCTTCCTGGATACTGAGACGACGGCGTATATTGAACCCGCTACGCAGACGCGCCTCAAGGAGGCCCTCGAACGCGCTCGCAAGTATGAGGCTCAAGCGAAAGCGTGGAGGGATTGTCAGTCATACCCGCAGAAGCCGTCTCTCAATGAGGTCGAGCAGATGGTGACCGCGTCGCAGAAGGAGTTCAGCATCGCTGCCGTCGACGAGGTTAAAGACCTGCTCAACCGCGCGAAGGGCATCGAGGGCAAGTGCGACGAGGCGCTGAACCGGCGCTACAAGCTCAACTATACCGAGGACTTCTTCGACGTCATGCAGAAGTGGATCGACTACGGCAAGCAACATCTTCAAATGTTCAGCATGCCGAAGTTCGATGAACTCGACAAGCAGCTCACGCTGCACGCTCGCTGGGTCGAAAGTCTGCCGTGGTACCCACCCATCGCCTCGTCCTCCATGGTCGCCAAGCAGATGTTCCACGACGTCATCGCCGCTACCCGATCCGAGGACGACCTCCCTCACGACGACGAAGGCTACAGTTGCATCTGCGACGAACCGGTCCGGGCGCCGCCGGCAGGAGTGCCATCAGACGCCGTCCAGTGCGACCACTGCGATGCGCGCTTCCATGGCAAGTGTGCGCGCTCCGGAGGTTCATGTCCGTTCTGCGACCAGCGACATTGGGACGGCACCCACGCTCGGCTACAGGATCGACCCTGGCACTTCTGCTACATGCCGATGCTACTTCAGCAGGCACCGATAATCTCGAAGCACTATTCGGAGCAGTATCATGATCTCGAGCTCATGGTTCATCGACTCGACCGGCTTTCCGCCCACATCGGCCAGTTCCTGGCGTTCACATCCCATCCCATGAATCAGAGGCGCGATTATCTCGGCTACGTACGGCACTTCATGCGCAAGCTCTACACCATCCGATTCACTCTCAGCCCATCGATGGACGTCTCGTTTGGTCTGGATCTCGCTGGACTGCATCGTCTCCTCGCACGGCAGCCGCAGACGACACGCGCAAAGAAGCGCCGTCGGCCCAAGTTCACGTTCGGCCAGGATGAGGATCAAGACTGGGCGGACGGTACGCGTTGCATCTGCCGTGGCCTGACGAGCTACCTCCTACACTACCCGAAGGTGACGTGCGAGACGTGCAATCGGGTCTATCACGCAGACTGCGTGTTCTACCCGAAGCACCTCCAGCAGAACGTCATGCGCAATGAGCTTCGGTTCGTATGTCCGCTCTGCTGTTTGCGCAAGAACCGGCCGTACGAACATGCGGAACTACGCGTGCGCTACACTCGTACGTCGATTCTCATATACAGAACTTATGGACTTCACTGACACATCTCGCAGAACCTGGACAGCCCGTAATACCCGGTCCTGGGGAGGTCTTCGTCGACACAGGCAGGATGCTCGACACGTTCTCGAAGGATCTTATCCTCATCGCATTACCTTCTCCGTACAAGAACACTCTCTACGTCGAGCTCAAGCACTTCACACCCGGCCAGCCCGACTTTGCGCCCGCAAACGACAAGCCAAACGGTCGCAAGTCTCATTCCGCAACATCACCCACGGCCACATCATTACCGCCGGCTCCAGTCGCGGGTCCCCCATCCGCCCCTCCTCCGCCTGGTCAGCGTGGTAGCGCTCCTCCCCCGCCATGGCAACAGCTTCCTGCTGTCTCAGTGACTCCTGGCTACGCGCCGGTTGCACAACCGCATCAGCGACCACGTGCGTCCAGCACTTCCCAATCGTCACATATGCGGAGTAGGACCGCGAGCATGTCGCGTACGAACGCACCGCACGATATTCACCACGGCAGGCCGCACTCGTCCTCGATGTCCAATGGCAGCCCATCGCATCCCCGTGCACCCATCAGTGTTCACCTTGAACCCTCTTTGAAGCGCAAGCGTACGGAAGATGAGGCTCTTATGCACGCAAAGCGGCAGCAAATGGCTCAGCATTCCCCTCCATCTCATTCGATGTCCGGTTCGACGTCGGCAATTCATAGACCGTCGTCGTCGCATAGCCAGACCGTCGTAATTCCGCCACCACCACCTCCAAACGCTGCTTTCCCCTCGCCGACTACCGTCAAGCGCAAGAGGACCGAGGATGACATTATGCACGAGTCGGCGAAGCGCATGAACACCGCTCAGGGGTCCCCGCCTATTCCTGCAGCAGTGCCGACGCCTACAACCCCGCGTAACCCTGCTTCTGTATCGCCTTCGATCGCCAACATGCTCGCGCCTGAGCCCCATCAGTCTCCCCGTGCTCTCTATGTATCCGCGATGTCGCCGTCGAGTGTGCGCTCGCCCGTACCGCCCGCGTCGGTCACTCGTTCGCCGGTGACGCGCTCGCCGGCAACGCAGCAGCGGGTGCCTACCATGGAGTGGAAGCCACCCTCGTTCACTTCTCCTCAGCCTCAGATCCGCTGAATCTTCATGATGTCGCCTGTCTACTCTTTCTGTGTTTAGGACTATTATGTCTTCCTGTCATCATCATCGGCCCCTGTACTATACATCACCTCCTGCTCTTCGTCTGTATGCCCCGTTTTCACCTTTTCGTATGATGGGTGAACTGCTCTTTATGTCCTGCTCTGCTATGCCTTTGGAATTTCACCTGCGAGAGTATCTACTTTTGGTCAATGTCATGCCTGTGTGCAACACCCTGAGTGCTAGGTGCGAGCCGCGACGTTCGGGATTTACATCAAGCATACCAATACGAGCTGGCACGCTATATGGTCATTGCACCGGCTTCACACGAGTCCCTCTATGACTCCATTGTTGGTCGCGTATGTACGTAGGGGTTTCGCTATGGACGCCTTTTCCCGACATGCCGTAGCTCTGAATCATTATTGGGAGCGCGCACCACCGGGATAAGACGGTTTCAGCCGACGGTGCGTCGATTATACGGTACGGTAGATTGGAATTCTTTCCTGGGATACACATTCATGTACGTACAACATGTACACTGATGAGAGTCGCGAGTGCTTTGAACAGCTCGTGGAGGATGTCTTGGGGTAGTTATGATGCGAGGGGTGCCGTATCATGCCGGGTATGCGGGGGAAGGATGTGCTATCTATTCTGTAGCGTGTGAGCCCAGGAAGCACTACGAAGACGGTGTGGGTGGAAGCAAGAGGCAAAACGGAGCTTCAGGAGCGCAGTGGTGAGCGCTACTGATAATAGATTTCGTTAACTAACTAGCCTACAAGCATTAATGGGGTAGTGGTAACCTGGGTCGTTGCCATCGACCCGCCGGGGGTAGGATTCCCCCTTAATGCATGGCCTTGTTCATGTGTGACTGTTTTGCTGCATTCACTCTACCTAACTTTCTTTGGCATGTCTCCTTTTACAGCAGTTTAGTTTAGTTTGTGAGCGTACGTAGTGCAGTGGACGCCAAAGAGCACGATCCGGCGAAATATTGCCTCTTGGAATGATGCGCCACACAGTGACAAACCGATCAACGCGCCTGATGTCACTCATATACCGTCGCGCCGCGTTGCTACAGCACCTTTCACCCACTCACCGACCTTTACGACCGTCTCTCTCCCGCACACCCGACTCGTCCTACATTCGGAATGTCAGACAACGACGACTTCGCGGCCGGCGACGTCATATCGTCCCGCTCGCCCTCTCCAGAATTCGCACCGACCAAGAAGGCTCCGGCGAAGCGCAAGTCCACCGGCGCCGCAGCAGGCGGGTCCAAGGCGAAGAAAGCGCGCACTTCTACCTCCACCGTCGACCCCTACGCGCAGACGCGCGAGCTTATTGCCGCCGTCATCGCCAATCCAGCGGGATACGGCGAGGACGTCGTGAGGCTGGCGCAGTACGCGCACGCGCTGCAGACGGGCGCAGTATCTGCGCCCAAGCCGAAGAAGAACGCGGAACAGCTGGAGAAGGATGTGGAGAAGATTAAGACGGCTGCGTATCGCGGTATCAAGGCTCAGTTCAAGGTACGCCTCGCCATAGCAGCCCCGCGGATGAAGTGTTCAACGACCGCTGTATTGTAGTGGAGGCCCTCGTGCAAGACGGGCGGCGCGCGCTGGAGCTACGACGGCTTCTGCCCCGACCCCGAAGTGTTCGCGCGCATGATGGGGCTCGAGGGCCCGCCGAAGTGGAAGCAGAAGAAGTTCGGCAAGGACGAGTTTGAGGACCGGATCGGGCGGATCGTCGGCTCGGCGCGGTGCGTGGATGTGCTCTGTCTACGTATTCTACAGCTTATCCCAAGTATACAGGTACAACGATATGTATATTCTGGGGGACGTGAACGTGCGCTACAATGGCGAGAGCGGGGAGTTCAAGATGACCGGCAGCTATGGCGTCCCCAGCGTCCCCAAATACTGAATACCGTGCCCGTGACCAATACTACTGGATTTCGTAACTGAATTACCTCGAAACGCCCCTCCATACCCTTAGCTTTCTTTACAAGGTCTACTCTGTCTATAATCTTGCATCGTATCTGTGAATGCTTCATCGTGATCCTACGCTACTTTCCCGATACTATATGGACAACCTATCTTCGTTTAAGCCCCTCTATCAACGGCCTCTTGGCGGTGCATACCCCAGTTGCACTTGTTGGACTCATTCTCCGCGCCGCTGTGCGCACGCAGCCACCTGCAGGTCTCGCTCGCGCTACCCAACTGAAGGATCAACGCGGTACGCGTTCTTCACGTGGCCGCGTCGCGCAAGCGCTGGCCCCTAACTTCGTCCAGCCTCTTCCCGAGAACCGCCATGATCGCCACCCTGCGCGCACCACTACGCAGTACTTTTGCCCGAGCGCACACACATCGCAATGGCCGGCGCACCTTCCTGAACCTGTCCTCTCTGTCGCCCTTCGGCTCTGGCGGTGCGCCCGACCCCGGCGAGGTGCAGACGTACCACGAGCGCAAGATCCTCCCGTGCGCGCTCCCCCGCCGTTCATACCCGCAATCGGTCGGCTGAGCCCATTCGTTCCGGTACTCTTTGGCTAGATACACTCGCGCGCAGCTATTTGCTGTTGTCTCCGACGTGGCGCAGTACAAGCGCTTCGTGCCCTACTGTGCGACCTCTACCATCACGGCTCCGCCGAGACCGTACCCTGCTGCTGGAAAGGACGCGACAAGGATGGAGGCCGAGCTCGGTGTTGCGTTTGGACCGTTCTCGGAAAGTTATGTTAGTACGGTGACGTGCGTGCCGGATTTGAGCGTCGAGGTCTGTCTCCCATCTTCTTGCACACGAGTGCTCGAGTTGATGCGCAGCGTCCATTCTAGGCCGTGGCCTCGTCTTCAACGCCGCTGTTCAAGAGCCTCACAACAACATGGCGCTTCCAGCCCGCCTCACCGTCCTCACCACATCCCTCGTCCGCGCCGCCTCTCTCAGGCTCAAACTCTCCTAATCCAACGAAGGACGACGGCCCGACGCTCATGACGCTCGACCTCGCGTACGCGTTCGCGTCCCCGCTACATGCGGGCGTGGCGGGCGCGTTCTTTGGGCAGGTCAGCGCTGCTATGGTCAGGGCGTTCGAGGAGCGTTGTAGGGATGTTTATGGGCCGGGGAGGAAGTAGCGTGGGTGTTATGGACTCGTGATTGGAGCCGGGGTCGACGGTTAGTATACGCTGTGACTTGGATTGTTAGCAGTACTATATCTCAGCCAATAGGCTAATGGGCACAAGTAGACCAGACTCCCTATTTCAGCTGCTTGCAAAACGATAGGCCACCCAAGGGTCCTACACAGACAGAGCTGGG